GATAATGATAATGATAATGATAATGATAATGATAATGATAATGATAATGATACTACTACTACTACTACTAATACTGCTGCTGCTGCTGCTGCTGCTGCTGCTGCTGCTGCTAACTGCTGCTGCTGCTGCTGCTGCTGCTCCTGCTGCTCCTGCTGCTACTGCTACTGCTACTGCTACTGCTACTGCTACTGCTACTGCTACTGCTACTGCTACTACAACTACTACTACTACTACTACAACTACTACTACTAATAATAATAATACAATAATAACAATCATCATCGTTATCATCCTTATAATAATTGGACCATTATATAACAGTTAAGACTTATCAGCAACATACAAAGAATTCGAAAATGCGAACACCTTAACACAACTCACTGTTTGATAGTTTGGTACTTACAAAATGTGGCCTCCACGTAAGACCTGTCATAATCCTAGGGTCAGCCTTCCTTACCTGAAAAAATGTGGTGAGTACACTACATCTCAGCTATACGAAACAAACAGGGAAAGCTAACTGACTGACCATCACTATATTTCAGTTTTATTAGTGATGTTACTGTTAGTGAACCTTTTACACAGACCTCACTGACGACCCAAAAGTAAAAACACTACTACTACACCCACACACGCGCACGCACGCACGCACGCACGCACGCACGCACGCACGCACGCACGCACACACACACACACACACACACACACACACACACACACACACGTATACATATACCTTGTAAACGACGTTAGGATAGAAGGAGCAGACCATTGCCTGATCGTACAGCTTTGGGTAATCCCTGAATGCCTTCTGAATGACTGGAAACACCTGTGGGTACGACAAAATATATCCGGTGACATCTTAGTCTAAGAATGATCAAGACCCAGGCTGCCGCATGCCTGAACATGCAATAGCAGCAATAAGAAACACTGCGTAAAATTTAATATTTCTAGTGACACGTTGAATAAGTAAACGCTAAGGTTAGTGATAAAGTTCATGATTAGGTTTAAGAATGTAGCGTTACTTTTAGGATTAGTACCAACACAGACCGCATACATCAACGTCATTGAATACGGCACACATATACAAGTATTATCATCAACTTAATCCTACACTGTTCAAGCACGGAGACTTTAATCAAATAGAATTCCCAGCACATAATTCGTTCCCACATTCAAACGCATGGGAATGTATTGACGTATGGCAGAACATATGAGGGAGGGGGGTGAACGCATACGTGTGTGTAAGTTATAACTTAAGGAAGGCTACGTGTCTCTGCATACGCACGCTACACATTCTCTCGCCTATGCACCCTCAACCCTCGGCAAACTTCACAGCGTTTCCTTCTCGCAGCTTACGCATGACCCCCCCCCCCCCGCATCGACACAAACACGCAACCAGAGTACTAGGGAGGTAGTCGCTTGCTTTTTTTCCACAATGGACCGAGGTGTACACGTGTCTTCCCTTCCCTTTGGCACTTCCCTCCCTCTCAGCGTACTACTGAGTGCCTCCCCTCCCTCTCTGCTTACTACTGAGTGCCTCCCCTTCCTCTCAGCGCACTACTGAGTATCTCTCCTTCCCCCACCATACTACTGAGTGTCTCTCCATCCTCCCACCATACTACTGAGTATCTCTCCTTCCTCCCACCATACTACTGAGTATCTCTCCACCCTCCCACCATACTACTGAGTATCTCTCCTTCCTCCCACCATACTACTGAGTATCTCTCCACCCTCCCACCATACTACTGAGTATCTTTCCTCCATCGCACTGCCCTCCCACCATACTACTGAGTATTCTCTCCTTCCTCCCTCAACCGACTGGTATCTTCCTCACATATACTGAGTATCTCTCCTACTCTACGCCACCATACAGCTGAGATCGTTCTGCCTACTCCGCACCATACTACTGAGTATCCATCCTTACCTCGATCCACCATACCTACTTGAGATTATTTCCCCCTTATTATGATCTCTCTTCTCCCACCATACTACTGAGTATCTCCTTCCTCCCCTACTCTACTCTGGCATACTACAGTATCTCGTTCATAATCTGTTACTTCCTTCCTCCCACCATACTACTATGAGACTCTCCACCATCCTATGAATTCTCTCCTTTCCTCCACCATACTACATTGGATATTCTCTCCACCCCCCCTCATTACTGAGTATCTTTCCTCCATCGCACTGCGCCGTTGGCAGCCGAGTGACTCCCTTTCCCAATGCCCTCAAACGGCTGGTGTGTGACCGAGTAGATTCTGACTCGCCCAGTCATGGCTACGGAGTGTACGCGTGCGCTGGCGAGGAGAGGCGGGGGGGGGGGGAGACCGGCCCGCGGCGGCTGCTGGAATTTATTGAAAACCACGAATGAAAGCCACAATGGACGACGGTGGAGTGCAAACAGCAGTGTGTTTACTTTCTCCCGCCGTGCCCGGCCGACAGATCGGTAAGCGAGGTGAATGGCGGCCGTGGCGGCGGCGGCGACGCCATGAGCGAGCGAGGCAGGCGACGCTGTGCGACAATGCCATCGTGGCGCCAGTCGCCGCGCGTAATCCCCCTCCCCGCGTCTTTACCGCGTAACAGCACGCGCGCGCGACACAGCGTGCGCGCACACTCCTTTTTCATACATCTGCGACGGTTGGCAACTTGCCCCCCCCACCACCACACCCACCTCACTGCCCCCCCGCGCAATTGAATAGTGACAAATTAAATTTCCGACGGCGGCGGAATTTCTCGTGTTGGCGCCTCGCGCGCGGATTACGATTGTTCGTGGCCCCGTATGTCGCGGCCGACGGGTCGGCCGACCGCTATTTGCTCAGCGATTCTGTCGTTGAAATCTGCGGGCGCGCTGCGCAGATCTGTATTCACTACCTGTTTGCGCGCCGCTGACACGCGGTGGCTGCGCGACGATGCGCCGCCGTCCGCCGCCGCCGCTAACCAACTGACTCCGCGCAGCAAAGCCGGTGTGATAGGGGAAGGGTGCGGGTAGGGGAGGACTGCGGCTGGGTGTCATGTGTAGGGAGGTAGAAAGGGGAAGGTGCAGATGGGGGTAGGGTGGGGAAGATGCGGATGGGGGTAGGGTGAGGGAAGATGGCCCACGGGGGTAGCGGTGGGGAATTATGCGGACGGGGAATAAGAAATAGAACGGACATAGAAAATGGACATTTCCCTCAACACGGCAACTGATAACAAGTTCACTGTGCAGCTCACTATCAAAATACGTATTATATATACAGGTATAATCACAGGCAGCTGACAGAAACGAAATGTCCTCACTGGGTGCTCAAGATAATGATGAAACACGGGCTGAGAACACGGAGAGGACACGAAAGCGAGGGGACAGAGAGGGCGATATATACACACACGCACGCACGCACACATACACATAGAGAGGGAGAGAGAGAGAGACAGAGATAGGGAGAGGGAGAGAGCAAGAGATAGGAAGAGAGAGAGGGAGAGAGAGAGAGAGAGAGATAGAGAGAGAGAGAGAGAGAGAGAGAGCAGAGGAGAGAGACAGAGAGAGAGAGAGAGAGAGCAAGAGAGAGAGAGAGAAAGAGAGGGAGAGAGAGGGAAAGAGAGGGAGAGAGAGAGCAAGAGATAGGAAGAAAGAAAGAGAGAGTGAGAGAGAGAGAGATAGATAGAGAGAGAGAGAGAGAGAGAGAGAGAGAGAGAGAGAGAGAGAGAGAGAGAGAGGAGAGAGAGAGAGAGAGAGAGAGAAGAGAGAGAGAGAGAGAGAGAGAGCGAGAGAGAGAAAGAGGGAGGGGGATAAGGAGACAAATCGGTGGGGTGTCTTTATAATATGTTGTATACCGAATACCGACTGCCGATAAGCCTGCAGTTGTGTCTGCCTACGTGCGCCGTGTGCGCGATCGTAAATTTTTACGGGACCACAGACGACGAGGACTTACTGCCACTGACTGGCTGGCTGTTTGCTTCCAAACGCAGCAGAACCATCCTTCTCTAGCAAACCTCACGCGACTACAAACAGTAGGGTGAGCGTGGTGGAGGCACAGGACGTAACGCTGCGGCAAAATATTTGCACGAGAGCGGGTGGCTCAACACACACTCTCACTCACTCACTCACTCACTCACTCACTCACTCACTCACTCATCACTATCTTTGCTGTTGCGTTCCCCTTCACACTCTCCATCTCCCCTTCTATATTTTGCCCGTGTTTATTCCTTCCTCTTTCTGTATTTATTAGCACCTCACGAGTTGCCCGTACACCATATCCGGTCGCGCTCGCTCACGCACAAACTCGATAAACAGCCAAACTCCATTGAAACATTTGAGGGAAAATTATCGGAATTTTGCGGTAAATAGACGAGCAGCATCACTGCTGCCGCTGCTGACGGCAGCAAATTCCAGCTGGACATTGCCACACTGGACATGGCTTGCCCTGCCCTCCCCACATACAATGGCTTCGCCATTCCCTCCCCACACTAACAATGGCTTCGCCCATGTCCTCCCCCACACTAACAAATGGCTTCACCCATTGCCCTCCCCACACTGACAATGGCTTCGCCCATGACCTTCCCACACTAACAATGGCTTCGCCCATGCCCTCCCCACACTAACAATGGCTTCACCCATGCCCTCCCCACACTAACAGTGGCTTCGCCCAATGCCTCCCCACTG